GCCATGTTGTTTTGACAGTTCCACACAGCATGTAGCAAAGGAAAGAGTTTTCTCTTTAATTAGAAAGAACAAAACTGATTTCAGACCATCATTGGATTTCAACAAGTCTCTGAGCTACATCATGCTTATCAAAATGAACATACATGAGAATCTAATCCCATGCTACAAGTTAAAACTTGCAAGGCAGTTGGTAAAAGCATGCAAACAGCAACAAGGGAGTATAATAAGTTACAAAGCAGCTATCAGTATACTGTGTGAAAACAATTAAAGTTTCAAAATTGTATATTTCAAGGAGTGGATTTAGTTATGAGTGGTATGTTTAGTCATACCATTTCTGTCTTTTAGTTTTACCACCATTTCTATTGCCTCTTCTATTATATTTTGGCAACTCCAGATCCAAAATTTAAGTGATATCGTGAAATTTCATAGTAAATATTTGTTAGCCAACCCCTTTAAATCCATTAAGTTCTCATCAACCTTTGTTGTGTACAGATAATTTTAGGCTATTTCAGAATCCCAGAAGTGCCATTTTATCCAAAGCTTCCAGGGACCCTGCCCAGTTGGATGGTTTCATGTCAAGGTGCAACATTTTGGGATACCTCATAAAAATCTTCCTGAGAAAGCATATTTAAGATTAGAAAATCTGAGAAAAAATTGTTAAAAGTTTAACACAGTAACAAGTGTACAATGTTTGGAGAAGGTTTTGTCATCGTCAGGTTAAAGTAATTTTTTCTAGACACAGAAATATTACATACAGTGTGAAGCAGAAAAGTCACACGACTGTAGATTGCTTTAAGCTTAATAAAAGTATCTTGTTGATGTTTGGTTCTTTGTTTAAGATTATTGTGTTTTTAATTTTTAATAATATTTTATAGTTTTATGGAATTGTAATACTTGTAAACAGGAGTGTTTTTTATTGTGTTTATCAAATCAGATAAGTTTAGTGAGTGTGGGAGGCATTAGCAAAATGCCCATCAGTGGCTCAGCAGTAAAAGTTTGAGGGCTCGTACTGCTATAAACCAGTTTTTGATACGGTGAGCATAGTACAGATAACCATTATGGAGCTTTGTGCTTAACAGCAAACAAATAAATGTTTGCAAAATATTGTGATTACTCAGATCTTTGTTGAATATCATTTTTATATTTATCCTATTTAATCAATGTACATAAATAAATGATAATGTCTAACTGGCTACTTAATTATTTATAATTGTAATCATGAAATGTTTTAAATAAAAACATTATTTTCACCGAGAGAGAGTAAAACGTTTTCGTTACTTATCAATATATTTGATTTACAGAAGATCAGTGTGGGATTAAAGCATATTTGAGAAACAGACAAGGGTAATCGCTTTTTGTTATTCAGTCAACATTAGTAATTCATCCACCAAGTAGGGAATGCCCATAAAACTTTTGGGAAAAACATTCTTTTCATAAAAAATATATTTTTGCAAATACGCAAGTGGCTGCTGTTAGAAGAGGTCAATCATATGAAATAATTATAATTCAAAAATTATTTAACCAAAATGATAAAAAGTTAGAAAATTAATAGCATGTTATAATAACAGGTTAGTTGAAAAAAGGTTAAAACAGTAAGCACATACCATTTTCTTTATTTACTTGCATGGGATGTAGGGTGGATGTTGTACTAGTAAATTAATCTATGTAATCAGTTAATAAGTTTTTTAATTAATCAAGTAGTAAATACCACAAACTTTATTTAGAGGTTGATTAATGAGGTTGAAGTTCTTGACTGCAGTGGCCTGGTACCGTATGGAGTATGTGATATAAAAACATATTTGTAGTGTATTATAAATTATCTATTCTAAGACAGCACCTCACCTCCTAACACAGAATAACTATATCCCTTATGCATCTGCCTATGAGATTTGCATGCCATTAGCCTTTAGCTTACTCCTGTCTAAGATTCACATGTTTATCATGAACTGCACTGGTGCATGATGACATCCAGTAGAAGGTAGACACAATCTCCAAGCACAGTAACACTCCTTGAGCACTTGCACTCATGGTAACTTTATTCCTTTCCTCAACATTGTCTTGAACAGACATGTTGATTTTTCAATGTACATTTAATGTACTGAGATTTGTATTCATTTAAGGAACTTAAGTTTCCTTCTACCTTCTCTTTTGTTTCAAAAGCATTGAATATTATAATGAATTCACAAGTGAAAGTGACTTCGAATTTATCCTATGAAAGTGACAAAGCTACAAACATGGGACTTGTTTCTACTCTGGCTTCCAGATGTGACTGTTGAAGATATTACAGCTATTGTGCAGTGTGTTGTGGGTTCCCTCATGTATACTGGGCCTCCTTCTCTTGTACCTTCTGCCAAATATCCCTTCTCCTCCATTTGAGAATGATGAATTCGATTAACTTTTCCCCCACTCTTTCACCAGTATCTTTTGATTCTTTCCATTCTTTACTCCATGAAACCAATTTTCATGATTACTTTTTCATTCTTCCTTTGCCTGATATTATGGTTCATGCTGATCCCTTTCTTGAACAACTCCACACCCATACCCACATGCCTTGCATTCCTCACCTTCTTGGCTCTTTTATTCTGGCTTACAGCTGTTCTTCCTATCATTTTCTAGATCACCAAAATTTCGTTTTTGTCTGCCTGGGTTTTTATCTTTTATTTCCCTATCTGGTGTCCAGCTTTTGTGCTTTGTATTTTTTCACCACCCTCCTATGTTACCCCCTCTTTCCCCACCTTATCTCTGAGGCACTTCATCATGCTCCAGAAGGGTTTTGGGTGAGGATGCACTCCTTACTGATGTCTTCCTCCCTCCTTATCCACATCATCTTCATTGGGCTCCCTTTCTTTGCCCAGAAGTCTTTGTTGGTATTACTAATACATTGAAGACCTGGGCTGAAGCAGGCAAGCATCAGTCCTTCTTATCTTTCTTCATTTCTATCTTTCTCAACCTCACCTTTGATTCCTGTTTCTTGATCAGATCAATATACCCCTACACTTCCATTCCAGCTTCCAGGCCTTACCACTTCTCAATGTCAGGTTCACTCATCTCGTCTGTGAGTATATCCTGTCAGGTTGGGTCCAGTGGGTGCCTGTCTGTCTCACTTTGCCAATCTTTGGTTAGTTTTCTTCTGCTGAGGAATGGGTTCTTCAGGTTGTCACCCATGGTCTCTCTCTCTCTCCATTTCTCTTCTGTTCCCCTTCTCTTCTCTTCCTGTTTCCTTTTCTCCTCCCTCCAACCCCTTTTTTTCTCATATGTCAAGTATGTGGTCTGAGATCTTTTTAACCAAAAATGCAATCAACAGGGTATTCATCCCTTCTCTGAATTTTTACTTTCACCTCTTTGTGGTCCCCAAGAAGACTGGGGACTGGCATCTTGTTATAGACCTATTATCACTAAACTGGTTTATGGTCATTCCACAGATCCAGAGGGAGATTTCTTTATGGTGATCTTTTTCACCCAGTCTGTGGATGACCAAGGTCAATGCTTTGGACATATTCTGATTGCCCCATGCCTATCCTCCATACATTTTTTATGTTTCATCCTTCAGAATCGAGTCTTTCAATTTCTTGCTCTTACTTTCAGCATATCTTCGACCCAGAACACAAAAAATACATTTTTTATGTTTCATCCTTATGAATCGAGTCTTTCAATTTCTTGCTCTTCCTTTCAGCATATCTTCGGCCCAGAACACAAAAAAAATTATACAATCTTATCATTGCCCTAGTCACACTGCACCTCATGTTTTACTTACCTTTTGTGTACAAATTTGCAGACAGTCATTTCTTTTTCTACCCATTCCTGTGACATATTGACTCATTTTGCTTTCCTCATTTCATTTTTTTCATTCCTAGCAATGAGTATATCCTGCATGAGATGGATGCAGTTTCCAGTGAGTATCACCTCTGTACTAAGCTCCTATTATAGGGTGTCACGCTCCATAAGCTTTCCCCTTTAATTGCCTTCTCTGAAGGTAGCTCATCTAGGTTTTTGCAATTACACTGGCCCCTCCACCACATGAATGTGGGATTCTAACTACTAGGTGCAGAGAGGTAAGAATGTCCATTTGGAAGTTAACATTTTCCTTCCCTGAAAATGTATTTGTATAAAATTGGAAATGAACACCCTGATTTCTAGTAGGTAACACTATTTGGCAAGTCCTGTTGCTTCTTTGAATTCAAAATTTTATTTAATTTTTAAAAAATAACAGTTAATGTTTGAGAGAAATCTTCACCTATCAGCTAAAGTTTTATGCACACTTTGTGCATGATTTTTCTGCAGCCCTGTGAAAACATGTACATGAGATTTTATCACTTGTAACATATATATATATATATATATATTGGCTGTCTGTTTTACCACAGATTCATAACTGCTTCACTATCAGGTTCTGTAGGTATTATTGTGGTATTCTTTACATTTTCTTAAAGTTGCAACTAAAGCTACTGTATCAATATGGAATCTGAAAAACATTCAAAGAGTAACTAATAATAATTTACAAGAAACTTTAAAAAAAATAGCTTTCAAATTTAAGTGAGTTTCAGACATTTAATAGGAAAGAAGCAAGTCAAATCCACCAGTTAGTAAGTTTATTTTAAGAGGATTTTAATTACATTTTAGTTCATCTATTTGTTGGTGATGAATTAACTAAGTCTAATGTAATGATTTTATTAAGTTTCAAAGTTAAAGAATGTTGCTAAATAATATTTCACTCACTTAAATCCATTTTCCTTCATTCACTGGTTTTTGAGGTATTTTAGATTTTAAGCTCCATAGGATTTTACTCACTCAAGAAAAAACAAAAAGTACTGGTGTATAGATTAAGAATACAATTAAGTAGTTAATTAAAGACAAATTATAAAAATGTTTTTGTTGCTTTAATACACAAGATTGTAATAAGATGCATTTTCATGGCCTTGAAATGTTAGACAATTTGCAGCTTGACACATTCTTTCAGACAGTAAATAATTATGAAGCTTCTTGATTTGTTTTTTCTGTAGCAAGAAGGTCAGAAAAGGTGTGTTCACTTTTATGCCTGCATCTGTGCTTTTGCAAGTGATGAAAAGCTATCAGAAGAATTTTCCCACTACATAACATTAGACAATACTTGTAAGTTTTTATTTGTTTACATTTAATATTGTACTCATGTCAGCATAAGTTGTCAATAAATTGTATTTGGTGGTGAAAAAATAAAAGATAAAGCTGGAAGTAAGGGAACTCGTATACCACTGCCAGTTCAGAAATCATTGGAGACAAATGAATCATGACTCTGAAAAGGAATAGAACTCACCAGTAACTGTTTCTAATATTTTTGCTCAATAATGTGTTTATATTTGCACTTTTACTAAATAAACTGCAGTTGTACAAAAATAACCTTTGGTTAGATTGCTATGAAAAATGCTACATTTCCCCCTTCCTACAAACACTGTGAAGTGACAACTCATGACAGTAAATCAAGTAGTTCTTGTAGACAAAATTATCCTAAAAGCTTTAAAAAATGCAGAAAAGTAATATATATATTAACTTTTATATATGAATTACTGAAATAATGTATGTGTAAAAATTTACTGAATGGCATCTAAAGACAAAAGGCATATGAAGTTTCAAAATTACAAAAATTCTGAACATTATAAAAATAAAACAAACTTATCTCATGCATTGACGACCTCAATCACCCAGTGATGAAAGTATACTGGCCTTTTCTGTGTACTCCTTGTGGTCAGAGCAAACATTAAAAACCAAGTATTGTCAACATTACTTCTCATCCATAAGGTGTGTTAATCGAACAAATAAACTCATAGAATCTAATTTCATAAGTTTTTCATGATTTGTTGACAAATAGTCAATATAAACATTTTAAGATAATCATTTAACACTTTGCTGATATGCCGACAAAGATCAAAAGATAGTATTATTTAAGGAACAATGGTAATCATGTATGTTTTCATGAATGGGTTAACTAAATGTGAATGTTATCACTGACAGAATTGCATATTTAATTATCTTTTCAGGTTTTATGTGTGGGTTGGATTCTTTACAGTAGGTGTATGTGACTTGTTGGCAATGAATTTCAACAATAAACAAACAGCACCAAGTATACTTATTTTTAAAAAAATATATCAAAACAGGTCAGACATATATACAAGTGTTCATTACACTGTTGGTTATCACACTTATATACAGAGCTTTAAATAATTGTTTTTGTTTTTTTTTGTCAAAGTCCACACAAGCTGCTTCAGTTAATTTAAAGCACAATTTCACAAGACATTATTCTTTCTGCTCTGTAATAACAATACAGTCTGTGATAACTTCAATTTAAAATCACCACTTTAACTGTTGGTTACTATAGTTGTATCCAGAGCTTTAAATAACTCTACTCTGTTGTTATGATACAGACTGTGATAATTTCACTTTAAAAATAATCACTGTACACTATTTATGGTTATACTCACAATCATGCAGTCTAGATCTATCTTTTGAACTAAATTTTTGACACACATTTATACCCCGACAGAGATCTAGAATGATCCACACACTACTCGATATTATGATGCAATAATACTCAATTAAAGCAATAAGAAAAACTTAGAAGATTCTAGTAACATGACACAATAATAGAACAATCCCAAATTCATAACTATGAACTACACAATGTATGATTCATAAACAGTTACGTTTACATAAACAAACTTGTGATAAACTATTGCTTCTAAAAATAACTAAATTTATCACTCAAATTAAACTTGACTGAAACAGTAATGTATATCTAACAGTAAGCCCCTCTTCAAGAAAAGTATACAATATTTTCTTGCACTATATACAAAGACTGTTTTCAGATCATGCACAAAGTTTACTCATACAGTATGCACCAACATTTGCAGTTCCCTTGGTGACCTCAATGCAGAACCAATAGTTCTGGAGGTACAATGCCCACCTCATGATCCTCGCACTGTTGATTATGCACCTCTGGATGTATTCACAGGGCTGATGGTCTGTCTGGATGATGAAGTCCTTCCTGTAGAAGTAGTTCAATCACACATTATGGGAAACAGTCTGTCTACATGCCCTTGCAGAAGTACTGCTCCAATTCCAACATCTGAAGCATCGGTGGGAATGATGAATGGTTTGTTGAAGTCTGGCCTTCTAAGGATTGGCAAACTTCCTGACATGTTCTTCACCTTCTGGAATGCCATATGCTGTGGTTTTTTGCAATTTACCTTGTTGGGCTGGCCTTTCTTGGTCAGTTCAGTCAGTGGTGCAGCAACTTCAGCTCATTTTGGAATGAACTTCCTATAGTATCCTCCTAACCCCAGGAAGGATCAGACTTGCTGCTTGGTCGTAGTAGCTTATGCATCTTGTATGTAGGTTAGCTTCTTCTCTTCCATGGTTGTCTGTTTGTTGCCCACCTTCCATCCAACAAAGTCCAGCACAGAATTATCAGTGTAGCACTTACATGGTCTGATGATCAGACTTGCTGCCCTCACTCACCCAAACAACTCACTGAGCTTCTTCAGGTAGTCTTCCCTTCTGGCTGTGTCAGACAGAATATTGTTCACATAATGCTCGATGTTGGTGGTTTTGTGCAACATCTTCATCATCATGCAATTCAATGTCCCTGCTGAGTTGACTAACCCAAATGGCATCCTCTTGAACTGGTAGCATCCATCTGATGTCACAAAAGTTGTCTTTTTTTTAGACTCTGTCTCATTCAGGATATGCCAATAACCCTTACTGAGGTTGATCTTCGTAAAGAACTT